CGATTTTAAAAATATAAATAAACCAATTTCCTTTAAAAAATTTGCTTTTTTAATTAAAATCTTAATAGGTAAACATAATCAGTGCTATGTACTGATCAATACTGTAATATACTGACCCATTCGATTTTTTTTTTAAAAGACGTTATTTTATATTAATTTTATTCAATTGCACTCAAATGTTTCTCAAAAAGGCTGCCAATTGACGGCAAATAGACAAAGTTACATGTGATGGAAAGGAAGCAAGTCTTTAACTACAATGTGTAATTAAATCCAAATATTTAGGACAAAATCTGCTTGTTTTTAGAGAGTTGGGCAGAAGTCGGTATTTTTGACTCAGAAGCTATTTTGTGGGAGAAACAAAAAGAGCGTTTGCATGGGGAATCAAGCGACCAAAGTCCGAAGGATCCAGAATACGCGACTGCATTCAAAGGTGCCAGCAAATACACGAGGACATGTGGATTTTGGAGACGTCTTGTTGGAAAAGAGTAAAACTCTTTCAAATAACGTTTAACAGAGCTTACTTTACCACATAAGTAGCATCTATATGTATTAATAGAGATTTATTTAGGTTTATAGAGTTTTACCACGCAGATGAAAAGTTATTTTAATTACGGAATAAATAAAGTGTAGCCTAAATTTTTTTTTTTTTAGGAAAAATAATTATGGTAACAGTAGCTATACTATAGCCTACGATAATATTTCATTTGTGCTAAAACGCTTGAAGATAAATCTCATATTTATAGCCTACAGATATATATTTTTAAAATTCATATCATTCTCAACTGTGAGATTTAAAGTTTGCGGGTATGTAGGACATTTAGATAAATGTAGCTTCATTCTTCATAGTCGTAAATTATGCTTCAGAAACAGGCAAATTAATAGCCCCAAAACATTTTAAATCGCGATTTTAAAAATATAAATAAACCAATTTCCTTTAAAAAATTTGCTTTTTTAATTAAAATCTTAATAGGTAAACATAATCAGTGCTATGTACTGATCAATACTGTAATATACTGACCCATTCGATTTTTTTTTTTTAAAGACGTTATTTTATATTAATTTTATTCAATTGCACTCAAATGTTTCTCAAAAAGGCTGCCAATTGACGGCAAATAGACAAAGTTACATGTGATGGAAAGGAAGCAAGTATTTAACTACAATGTTTAATCAAATCACCTAAATTTAAGAGTAACCAACAGCAGGTCTACTGAGAGTATAGCCTAAACTATAAGCTATTATCATTCTTGGCTCGGACCGAACAGTGTCTGATGAGGAACTCGAAAGGTTAAACATTTGGCTTCAGAGATCAGGGAGCTTGCAGCTTTTTCGAAGAAGAAGAAAAGCAAGACTCAAGCTTCGACTAATTTAAAATACTCTATTAGGCTAAATAAAGTTTACTTTTTGAGCACTGCACAGGTAGGCCACACTTTGTGTATGTTTATGAAAAACGTATGAAAAGCGTAAAACCTTAAGTTCAGTAAACCTCTGTGCCCGCAAAAGTACAATTTCTGTAAATTATCCATTCTGAAACGTTATTCCTTGTTACGACATTTCAAGAGAATTTGATTTCTGCAGACATGCATAAATCGTGCCTAGCCCATAAAATACAACTCGTTTTTCTATGGGCCTACTTGACTGCCAGTTCATTTATGTTCTGAAATGCCCAAGGCGTCTTGTGACCCTTTAAATTAGAGTAGAAGGTGTCACTTAAGGACACTGCAATAATTGACTGAGCAACTTGAAGTTTTTTAAGTCTAAAATAGATGAAACGCAATTTCAAGTGACACTGGCAACACGGTCTCATGTCAAAGACTGATATGAACTTTGTTCACTTTAAGTTGTTCAAAGCAAATACATTAAAACATTTTTTTTTTGTAAAACTAGACACTAATGCCCAAAGTGATATCCACACAAAACAAACGCACACGCGCGCTTTACGCACGCACACTCAAAACTATTTTTTATTGATATATTGTTTATCTTGGAAACAGGGTTGGCACGACTCTCAAATCAGGTTTTGAAGTTAATGAAACATGCAATGTTTGTTCTGTCATAACCGGTTTAACATTCTTAGCCTTAAACTACTATGAGCCAATGGCAAAAAAGGATCACTGAAGTTATAAAAAGAATATTTTGAAAATCTAGTTTAAAACACATGTAGTACTAAGTTATCATGCTGATTGCATACATTTTTATAAAAAAAATGTTACTCTAAAAAATTCAAGATAACCATCAAGTCAAATGTACTAAAATACTTTACTTGAACACTGAATACACTTGTGTATTTTTTAAGTTTTCAAACATTATTCAAGTTTTTTATGCATCTCGGCAAGTATTTTTAGGATTACTCCATTTAACCTGAACAGAAATGAAAGACATGCTCGTCGTATAGACCTATGCTTTGATGGATGCATTAAAGTAATTTTGTATGAATTGTTGCATTTTAATGTATTTCCTAATAACTTTATTGATTCAGACAAAAGTGAGAGTTACCTCATTGACCCATATATAAAGTATATATATATATATACATACACACACACACTGTATACACTACGCCATCAAGTGCAGTTCTTCTAAACGAGTGGCTACACTGCAGACGCACGCACACACACACACACACGCACGCACGCCACCCCCGTATTTCATCAATTCATTCTCCGCGAGGACTGTGAGATGTGTGTATGGAGCTCAGAACACCGTCTGTGTTGCTATTCGTGTTGTAAGAAACAAAAGAACAGACGAGGCATTGATTCCTCTCAATACACAAGGACATCTATGCGCGCTGCATGTGCAATGCTGCAAAGCTATGAGACCGTCGATTCAGCACTGTAAATTAAAGATACACGACCAAAACAACAGCCTGCACCTCCAGCCAGTGCATTCTCTGCAGCAAGCCGTGCATTACTGTAAAATCTGTATTATGTCCTTCTGTACCTTGTAACGAGGATTTCGGATTGGACGAGGCTCGAAGACTTCGCGTGGGACGTTTTGTATTTGGTCAGTGTCCGGGTTTATTCCTCCCATCCGAAGAGCACGGATTACTTCTTTGCGAAGATAAATGGATACGGAGTTATAAAAGCCTCCGACGAGATGACCAAGCGTTGAACTGCAGAACTACAAAAGCCTCTGAGCTCTAACTTTGTTTGGGGGGGGAGGTTGGCAGTTTCGCTTCGAAATGGTACGTTAACAAATCAGTTTCATCATTATTATGTGGTTGTTCCTAAAGACGAGGCAGATCACGAGTTGTGCACTCTTAAAGTCAAATGAGATCATCATCAACGCACAGGCGCCGTGTTTCGGTTCCCCCCGCTTCCTCTCTTACCAGCCGGTTACTCCTTTTCTCGTTGGTTTTCGGCCAAACGTAAGGTTTTGTGGGAAAGGCTTACAAATGCTGGCGTATTATTCTCGCTATTGAGACGCGCAATGATTAAGATAGCAAGCGATTTGGCTTTTCTCCCGTAATGAAAGTTATTAGTTCTGTGACAGGCGAAGGAAAAAGGTGTGTGCGTGCCTGTGTTAACCACGGGACTCCGAAGGCCAAGTTGAAGTTTAAAGCCAGTAGAGGCAGATGCCCAGCAGTAGAGTTTGCTCAGCAGAAAATGGCCGCGGGCTCGCCGGCATGAATTTGACATCTACACCGACAGAGGCGCTCCCTCACCGGCAGAAGTCTCAGATCGTGTGCCGAAGTCACAACCGGGAGTTCGGCATTGTCTCAAAAAGTGCTACAAACTGTAGTTACTTGTCATGTTCGCATGGCAGTAGCAAACTGAATCTGTAAATAAAACAAAGTAAACATGCTTCACGAGACAGTGCCAAAAATTGATTTGACCCGGCTTGGCTGTTTACAGAAATAGAAGCTTTCAGCCAAGTAAGCTTGATACACTGACAAAAACGAGGCTACTATATAACAGTGTTGTCTTGGGCATGCTTGAATATAATTTGGAGTATGTAAATTCGATGCTGCATGGATTTCAGCATTGTTATGTATAAACATACCATGCTATGGCATCTGATAAAGTATGGTAGGCTACAGTACTTTTTTTCTATCTTAGTCACTGCTGTTGCCAGTTAATTTGCGCTTACGTCAAGTTCGTAAAATAAGTTCAGACTTTAAAAAAATGTTTTATGGTTAGGGCTATATTGATATGTTAATTTGTATTGTATCTACAACTTACTCAAATCTTTCTCTTTAAAAAAAATGCTAACGTGGCAGTTTCAGAAAAAGTTTAAGAATGAATGTTTGTAATTGGATGGATATGTTTATTGGCAAAAGTATGCCATTTTGAGACGACGGTGTTTCAGCAGTGTGATAGACGGCTCTCTCCCTGTCCATAGTTCAGTGCATATTCAAGAGAAATAACAGGTGTTGTTTACACGGTTGGTTTTAATAGCCTGCCTGGTTTTACACTTTAATTTAAGTCAATTGACGCCTAGTTTATTTGATCTCCGTGTGATCACACCAGCAGAGTAAAACTTGATTTCTACAAGGGGTTAGGTCAAGAAAAAAAAAACTACACAGGAATAGTTTTTGGGTATCTACGACTGACCATGAGCTACTTGTAGATGACAGTTATTATGGTTGCCGAGGCGCGTTATTTTCTTGCAATTACTTTATAAAAGCTTCTGGTCATCAGACCATGCAATAGAGGAGAAAATAGCCTCACCGAAACAGTACTTTTAGAATGCGTGCACTATGCATTGGACTTCTCATATATATTCATAATTACACGCGTTTCAGGAATTGAAGTGACTGAGAGACAAGTCATTCCCTCGTTTGCTAGAAATATATTCTATGTTTACAGTTATAAAGGTGGTCCAAATGGCTATAGTATTTTACGCGGGCTGACTTTTTAAAGTGTTCGATAAGCCTCGAACACTTTGTCATGAATGGACGCATGCATGTCCGCGCGAGCCTGGCTCTAAACGCTACTTTAGCGGCGCGTGTTGCAGTAAAATGGTTTGGAATACGCGCGCGGGTGAACTAGATCAGCGTGAGAGGGAAGAGCGGTGCGTGCGCACTGGCGAAGAGGGAGATGAAAGTCGTTTACCACTTTGCTTCGCACCATAGGAGCTTCAGAAACCGAGGCACATAACTTTTTTTTTGGTTAATTTCACGGTCTTAACGGATGCCCCTGGACAGTGGAAACCAGGGTTAGCCTCTCTTGCTCCTTCAAGTAGGCTACTTTCTTTGGGATGGGCTATTTTCATAACGTCATTTCATTCCTCCCTCTTTTTCATTTTCTCTTTCTTTGATTCTTTCTCCCACCATTTCCTAAATGGAACAGATTGCAGCACCCCACGCGTTTTCCTGCCTGCAAAGTTTGGTTTCAAACGTGTACAGAGTTTGCGCGTTCTCTTTTGCCGGGCGTCTCTAGATTTAACGGACTCGAAGTGGAAGTCAGAAGTGGCGGCGGTGGAAGTGTTAATCATGATGAGCCTTACCATGATTAACTGTGAAAAATGATCCACTAACTTGTCGGTGTTTTGCCACATTTCAAGTCACGCGCTCCCCTTTCAGCATGATGTATTCTCCTCTCTGTCTAACTCAGGTAAAGTGCTTATTTGTGTCTTTCTGAACGAATTGCTCCTGATCCGCGACGAGATTTCAGTTCATAAAGGGCGGGCTGAGAACTATGCTTCTCTTTGCCTATTTAACATCCATTCAAATAACACTAAGCTGTATCCTCAAGTGTATATTAGTTTATTGGGTTGTTAAACATTTCTATTATTGACCTTTTTATAATGTAAACAAAGTCGAAAATCAATTTGACGAGGTAATATGAGTCGGTGTTTATCGTTGTATTTAAGATGGAGTTTGTGTGCAGTAGAGTAGACAGTGCAGTTGAGTGATCAGACATCTGCTTCAGTTTTAATCATAAACTAGAGGAGAAAGTTACATGTCATAGTTAGGATCAAATAAAACTTTTATTATTTCATATTATTGAATTTACTATTGTGTATTTGTATCTAAAGTGGATTAAAAATGATATATTTAGCCTATATCAGCACATCTATATGTATACTAGGACTAGTTCAGTTCATGCGTAGCGTTATAAGAGAGTGCATTAGTAATGTTTATATTCTGTGTTAAGACTGTTAGAACTTTGACTGTTTTATTGGTTACAAAATATATAAAGTTACAGTATTTTGAGAGAGATTTAGGATGATATCTATGCAATCCGGACTAATTACTGTGGTTTCAGCTCTTGTGTGCTTTTTAAGTTTTCAATTAATAGGATATAGCAAAAAGTTGGCTATTGAAATATTTTTTTTAGGCTGTTTAATTTTTAAAAAGAGATAAAAAGCATTCTGGACAGAATAACATTGACTTGCCAGACATCGGCCTTTTGCCTGTAATTTATCACAATTGATGTGAATCCCATATTGCTTGTGATAGCTGAATCATAGTGCCTAGGCTTAAATGTGTAAATGTGATAGTATTTTAAAAGTATTTTTGTCAGCTGTCTGAATTTAGGCAGGCACAGAGGGTTTTTAAGGTCACTTTACTGTCTCAAATTGCTTTGCTGTATATTGACATGAGTCACTAGGATTTTAGATGGCTGATGATTGCTTTGACCTTGGCTTTGATGAAAAAGTTGCCGCGAAAATAAATACTTTTACTTTGGTTTGTTTTAAATTTCAGATCGTTTTATTAAGGCCACTCCCCGATTAACCAATGTCCACTTTTTATCTTAGAAACTTACATAATAATAATTAAAATATAAAAATAAAACTCAAACGTTGTTGCAAGTTAGCAATTGTAGTTGATTAAGTAGATTGTGTGAGGGGAAAAACTTTTTGTTCTCTGCTCGGTAAGAAAGTTGTTCCATATGCTAGATTCGGTAAAAAATCCATATTACTGACAGACATAATGAAAGTCTGTTACCTGTCAATCTGACACAAAAAATATGTAAATAGCAGTTGTAAAGGTCAAGGTATTTTGTAAAGGTCAAACTTTTTGTTGGCAGTTTATCTTGTGGTATAATTCAGTTCGTAGTTCATATACTTTGTTTAAATAACTGCCTGGAAAACCTTTGGGATTTGGGCTTTTAAGTCCCACAAATATGTATTGTACTTTTCAGCTCTTATTGAATGTGTTCAAACAGGCAACAGTACAAATACACGCCTCACCCTCCAGCGCTTGAATTTATTATTAAATAAATTACATGGGGCTATGTTTCAATGCACATAGTGTTTTTTGGTTCTTCATGGCAGACGCTAGTTATATGCTAGACGCAGTCTTTTGATTAGTAAACTCATTATATACTGTGTAAACATGAAGTAACCATAGTCCACTTTTGGAGTTGTGTAACTTTACCAAATGTAGTTTTAGTGAATTATACAGGTAAACTATCATGCTTAGCTAAAAAATGTAAAATCCTAAAACTTGTTAAAAATAGTGTGCTCCACCTGAACATTTATAAACCACATTTGATCTTGAGGTTGAGATAAATATTTAGAAATGGAATAACCTCTGCTGCATTACAGATCTGGGTTGTGTAAGCTGTACTGTGAGCCAGCAGTGCGGAGTCCTTTGGTTTTCTCAGTAACTGCTCGGCATGTCCACTGCCTCTTTGAGCTCACCCTTGTTACTGATAGGATAATGTAATGTAGCAGCCTGCAGCGTTCGAGGGAGAGCACGTAGCATGCACAGAGGTTCTGGCCGTAGTCTGAGTGAGTGTGTTGGGCTGAGAGAGAGTGAGAGGGACAGATGAGGCTTGTGCCAGACTCCACCACAGTCCCGCTGGCAGCCGGAGGGGCCTTTCGCTCTGAGCTTCGCTGTACACAGGCGCTTCACAAAACAGCTTTTAAGCTCAGAGCCTGTTCCATATGCTGCCATTACAACGATTCTGTCTGCAGTGAGCAGCAACCGCCTCAAATTTTAGAGATGGTGGAAAAAATATATTTTTTTGTACTTTTGGTTTTTATTTTTTTTTTCAGATTCTAGATTCTATATATAATATACCCAAATATAGTATAGACAGTCAGTATATATATATATATATGTATGTAATGAAAAGCTATGCACAACTATTTCATTACTATTTCAGTGCACAAAGCAATTGCTAATTGTTTTATTGGAAATGAACCAAACTCACCAAACTCATATAGTGTTGGGCCTAATATCTTTATTTTTTTTTGTAATCCAGATATTCACTGATCAAATGTATTTAGTTTGTACAAACCCAGTTTGAAGGGTATTTGCCAACAGTGTAGAGTAGCATCAGCGGGAGATCTGAGAGGCTCTATTCCCCTGAGCTGGCAACACGCTGTCCTGCCCCCATTCCTCATCGATTCATTCCGTTAGAGCCGCAATTAGTCCCCCCCGGGAAAGAAGAGGAGGGCCAAGCATCGAGCCAATTGGAGACACTCGACTGCGCTGACCAACAAAATACTATAACATCTGAAATTGTGCTGATAATGATACCTGCTCTGTGTTGGCTTTTTTACGAGAGCATTTTAGTTTTCATATTTCCGTGCAAAATATTCCAGAACTGAGAGCCTTTTTCTTTCTGTTGGGCCTGAAATGACTTTGATATATAAATGTTTTGTTCTCTAAATGAATGCATGCATAGTCTGATATTTTTCACGATTCATATCATTCAGTATGTAAGTTTTGCTCATCTTTACTAGTTACATGTGCATGACAAGCCAGTCTAACTAGGTCCTGATGTAATGAGTATTGAAATATTCTCCACCCCTCTCCATGGTCGGGCACTTTGTGTTTGAAGTGCCGCTACTGGGCTCTCAAACAGCCCAGAATACCCCCGCGGTGTAAATCCACCGGTCCTCTCTGGGTCCGTGTGTGTGTGTGTGCGTGCACTTGCCCGCCTGAGGGTATTTTGTATTTATTTTTGTCAGGAGAGTGTGTTTGCTCTTTCACTCAGCTCAGAAATGCATGCCCCACATTAGTCTGACAGCCCTGAGTGGCACAGTCATGGTCGTGTCCCAATGCGGCAGCTCCCAATGTGCCCGTTTAACAGATTAATTAAGCTGTTTTGATCACCCTCTCTTCCTCGCTTGCCATCCGTCCTGCATTTATCGCACCTTTTTTAAACATTCAGCTACTTATTCATGTCAGGGAGCGTTTTGGGAAAAAAGGGTCAGAATCTTAAGTGGAGCATTAGCTTTCATGTGTTGATCCTAGTGGCTGATATTTATTAGAGGACATCGAGGAGATTTTTAGGGGAGGGGAGAGGAGAGGAGGGGAGTCGGGCACAAAAAGTAGCCTCAGTTATAAAGGCCTGAGCTCTTGGCATGAGTAGAGGACTTCATGTGGCCAGGGCTGGAGATGTCTGTGGAAGGTTGGCTGCATTTCGTATCACACCCAGGTTCCTCTGCGGGGAGAATGGTGAGCAACCCTAAATATTTACTTTATCAAGATGTGTTTGGATTCCACCTGAGCCCGCAGCTTCGCTCTCTCATCCATGCCAGTGTATTACAGCAGAAAAGGAGTTTATTTTTGTTGTTTTCTAGATGAGATGTGGTCCAATGAGTGTCTGAATCACCCTCTGGAGTTTCGTTTTTTTAAATGAGACTCTCAAAAAACAGCTCAAATCTTTGGAATAGATTAATCAACCGTGCAAAGACAAAATACGTTTTATTCTGCTCTGCAAGTACCTTTGCGTTGGAAGAGATTGTATAAATCGTAGTTCACGTCAGTCAGAATGCTGTTACCTGACAAGAAAATTTAAATTTTTTTGACCTTTGCAGATGTTTAAATCTGTATTTTTTTATTTTCTGTATGTTACAGGCTTAGATGCTGGCAGAGCCGCTGCTTTCTCTCCAGCAGGGAGAGAGTTTTTGTCTTCTGCCCCAGGGTTTGGAGTCACAGTAGTAGGTCATTTTCAGAAGAACCTCCACTCTTGGCAGAGTCGGCTCTGCTGGGAAGGCTTTAAGAAATGTTTCCAACTGGAAGGCGATCAAGAAGAGCAGTGCTGGCGTGGCAGAGGGCTGTTTATTTAAAAGATCTCTAAATCTACCACTGCTTCTCCACTACTGTGGCGGTGCTTTTCCAGTCATACATTTGTTAGTCGGATTTGATTTTTGCCACAAGCCTGACACTTGATTACATTCTTTGGTTATGCCTCTTACTATCCAAATGTAAGGAATACTACATTGTGTGTTGTTTTTGTATTGTAGATTAAAGTCATATGCTCTGCAGAGTAGTTCGTCCTGATCCGAAGAGCAAATATTTTCAAATATATTGTATAAAAAAAAGAGTATATTTTTGAAATATTATATGTATGTTTATTTCTCTCTCTCTATATATATATACAGTATATAATATTATAATATAGATAGATAGATAGCAATTCAAAGTAGCTCTGCTGTGTAGTTATTCTGTAATTCTGTTTTGCATTAACTCCAGTGTTCTGCAATTATTGCATTTTTTGATGGAAAATTGTTCTTTAGTGTATTCTGTATTTGAGTCTGAACAGATGTGGAGGATTTTTCGGCCTTCTCTTCCTTGCCTGCTTGCACGAGTTCTGCAGGCAGCTCGCTGTGCCTGATTTACACCTCTCCACTGCTCTCCAGAGCCGCTTTA